TAAATGAGGCCATTAATACCAAAAAAAAGTTTAAAAATGTAATGCAGATAAATTACAGAGTGTGCAGATAAATTACAGAGTGTAGTGCCTTTCCGTAATTGGTGAGCAAAGTTTCTGATATTCTACCAAAAGTCTTGGAACACTTCTGCATTTCTCAGGGACGTTTTCCAATTCACACAGGCCCAACCCTCGATCCCTCACCCATGTTGGACACGTGTATCGACTATCCTGAATTTTTACTGACTTTCAACTTTGTATAGGGTGGGGGGAGGGAGAACTGCAAGAAGATTTTAAAAAGGATGGCACTGTTTTAAGAGGGAACCGAGAAATGACAGAAAAATAAGAATATTGCAGTACTGTCTCAAGGACTTTTGTCCAGGATAGTAGAAAGATTTAGAGTTATGTTTACGGCAAACGTGAAATTCATACTATGTGACCAAGTTTTCCCTTAACTTTGTTGTGCAATTTACTGTTTACTAATTCCACCACAAACTTAGTAGCTTCACATTAGTTATGTCTTATTTTTAGCTGCACGTTTTCAATTTTGAGAAATTCTCAACTTGAATCTGACATTTTCTGTTTCCTGACAATGCAACTCTCAGTCTCTCTAAAGTATTGTCTTGCTAGAATACACTTGAAATTTTGCTAGCGAATCAATAATCTCTTACTTTGTGTAGCTGTTTAGAAGCTGTGATCCTGAAGCACTCATCAGTTTTGCCAACTTGGCCATGAAGTCAGCATCTTCATCCTAAAAGTGATGATTCAAATGACAAATGAGACAAAAATTACATTAACCCATTCACCCTTAGGAATATGGAGGAAACTGCGTATTGAAGCTACAATATAATCTTGGACAAAAATGTTACGCTTAGACATGAATAATCATGTACCTCTTGTGGTTCAAGGATACTGCTTTTCTTCAGAACACTCAGAAGAGATTCCACCAGTTCTTTCTTTGCCAGTGGCTCCATTCCCTTCATGATAATCTCATGTATGCAATCACAAGCGCTCTCCCGAAGAACTTCAACTGACATGTACCGGAGAAAGGTACTGCAAAGACAAATGATCAATTTGTAACCAGGACACAAAATCAAAGGTTGTGCTAATAGTAAAATCCTCTTTTGACAGTTTTCAGCAATGAGAAATGATGCTTTTCCACATTATTAGCTGCCAGTTGACTTCAACCACTGAAAGGCTACTTGCAAAAACTGACTTTATGAGAATTGAAAGGACACAATAACACAGAGCAAAGGAAACATTTTTACCATCAGTCAGCATAAAACACAGACTGACAACTATTGTTTTCACAAAGCAAATGACAATATGACATCAAAAGTAACATTGCAAAAAATGAAATAATCAGCATGTCATGAAGAAAGAAAAAATCTGAGTCCCTGACAGGATTCAAACCTATGACCTTCCAAACACTGGGTGGGCGCTCTATCCACTTGACCTATGCAGAACTCACGAAGAGGGAGGCCATAAATTATATTACAGGGTGTACGTTCAAATTTTACCATCTTTCATTCTTTCACCAAAAGTCCCATTGTTTTCTAACCCTAAAAATATTATTCCGTGTAGTCCACAGTCTGAGTCTGCAGTCTGCATTAATTTTACTCTGCCCCTATTCAATCGTTTGCAATGAGGCCAATATCGATCCATTCAATATATGCTCCAATAATGTCTAGGCAAAGGCACGTTGACACACTATTTTCATATGTTTTCTGCACACAAAACGTAATAAAAAAAACAGTCAGCAAAACCTAAACCTCATTGTTGAACCAAAATACAAGATTCCCACCTACCAGAATCTGAAACCAAGAGTCAACGAGCTCTGTGATGCACGTATCCCTGATGTGATCTTTAATTTTTGTGTTCCTCTCTGCTTCCTGTTCATCAAAGAAAAATTCAGCTTCTAAACTGATTGATTAGTAAATGGTTTTACAAACTTGTACAAGCAACCAACGGAAACTCCACAAAAGTTGACAGTCTTAAATCAAATCTTTGAGTCTTTACACAAGTTTCAAGATGTGACAAGCAAGATTCTAGAAGCAGTGTTTTAACTCCAAAGGATTTTGATTTTCATAAGGAGCAGTTTCACACATGTACAGCATAGCCCTTTGCGCAACATGTTTAGATTCATATTAGCACCGACAACTTCATGTGTGTGGCATGGTGGACTTTGTCACAACAAAAACAACTTGAATGACAAACTTTAACAAGCTTGTATATTAGGCAAATAAAAAATTTAGGTACATTCCAAACCCGCTTTACAGACACCCACTAAAATGGGTTCAGCTTCAGTGGCTGTAAGCTGCTTGTATGAGAGGTTAGATAGTACAATATTATATAGAATTGAATAGGTTATCAATTTCTGTTTGATTGTACCCCTCTCTGTTGGAGATATATTTTCACCAATGGAAATTGTAGCATTACAGTTTTTAAAACAATTCTTAAAATTAACCTGTTGACTCCTTATCACATCTCTATCAACTACTTCCTCATCAATTGCCTTCAAAATCCTAAGATACATATCCACAGCTAATGCTCCATATTGCAAGCACTGGAGGAGGTCTGAGAAAAACAGCGGCCACTACAGCGAGAAGAGAAATGTAACATGAAGTTAAACAACATTTAACGCAGTTAATAACAATGAGTGCTGTCGTGTGTTGTTGCTCAGCGGTCAGCGTGGTGGCTCAAGCGCAGTCACCCTTGCTAACATCAGCTCCGGCTCCATGTGCTTAGTACAATGCTTTCAAGGTGATTACTCGTTTTGTTCAGCCTTTAGATTGTGCCTTTCCCCCAACCTTTCCCTCCCTTTAATTTTTCTCTGCTAAATCATTGGGACATGCAGGTGCCTGGTTCCATTGGTGTGGGGGCTCATGGCTAGAAAGAGTGAGTTTACCAGCCATGAGGCAGGCCATCTGATATTACGCGATGGTTCGATTTCGCACAATTGACCTCAAATCGCATCTGATCGCACAATTTGAGGAAAATCGCATAATTCGAAAAAAAAAAGGCTAAATTCAAGTAAAGTAAACAATGAACTCCAACTTTAATGAAACATTTTGCCAATCTTAAGGTTATTTAAAGTGATTTACCACTAAACAAAGCCTTGCAAAACAACTGAAACCTTCGATCGCGGTATCTGGGCAGCTATTTTGATTTTAGAGACAAGCTCTTACAGTATATTAAGATAGCTACACCCTGCCCAATAAAAAATAATGCAGCTTCTAACCTGATCTGACTTCTTTGAAGAGAGCATTGTTCACGTTGCACTTGTTAGTGCATATTGTATCTGTAAGGAAAACATATTGAAAAAAATCACAGTTGATAAATAAATTCAAAATCCTCTGGTAAATCTATTTTGCGAAGGCCACCAAAAATAGCTCTTACCGTTACCATGGTATCGAGCTTTTTTAAACAATTTTTGCTGGGAAGGTTGAGGGTGAGAGGGTTCACATAAAGTCGGTTACCACAAAAAGAAAATAGCAGCAATTACTTTGTCAACAACATTGTCACTCGTTTTAAGCTTAATTTCCAGTGATATCCCTCGATTGCCTGTGTCAATACTCATTAAATAAAGGCCTCACTAGGTTAGGGTTCGAGTCCCGGCTCCCGAATCCCGAATCCGGAATCCTGGTTCGAATCTGAATTTTTTCAGGCTTTTATTTTTTCACAAATGCACAAGTCAGCGAGTTTAGCCTGCGGGCGTTTGAAAGGGAAGGTGAAGAGAATTTGGGTGCGAAAACACTTCTCAGAAACCCCAAATCCCCTTTCCCTTCCCTTTTGAACACCTGCTACGCAGGCTAGTGCGAGTTTAAATGCGAGGATCTTCCTTACATTTATTTGAATACGCTACCTATCACTCACCTCATGGCTGGCACTTGGTTTATGGATCGCTGCTCTGGAAATCAAAGCTGTCATAGCAAACAAGTTGATACAGGCATCAGCCATTCGATTCAACAGAAGCTGCTCCTCGATAATGTTCTTAAAAAGCGGAATACCACAGAAAAGAATGTTAGGGGCTTCTCTAAGATAAGTTATGCCGGCCCTCGCACTACTGTAAACTCAGCATTCTAATTTGCTACACATTTGCAAAGCGAATCACCAGGAAAATCTTTCTAGCCTACGCTTTCACTTAAACAACCATTGGTCATGCTTGGCATATAACAGTAACTCGAACACGAAAAAAACCTGTTACGACCTTTCTCATATTCAGTGCTGAATTATAACAACAAACTAAAAAAACTGCATCTCTTTTTGAGCTCTTTCTAGATTGTTTCGGTTGGGGGGATCAACTCTACAGAAGTTTGACTTTTTTAAAGTGTTTTATTAAATGAGGCCATTAATACCAAAAAAAAGTTTAAAAATGTAATGCAGATAAATTACAGAGTGTGCAGATAAATTACAGAGTGTAGTGCCTTTCCGTAATTGGTGAGCAAAGTTTCTGATATTCTACCAAAAGTCTTGGAACACTTCTGCATTTCTCAGGGACGTTTTCCAATTCACACAGGCCCAACCCTCGATCCCTCACCCATGTTGGACACGTGTATCGACTATCCTGAATTTTTACTGACTTTCAACTTTGTATAGGGTGGGGGGAGGGAGAACTGCAAGAAGATTTTAAAAAGGATGGCACTGTTTTAAGAGGGAACCGAGAAATGACAGAAAAATAAGAATATTGCAGTACTGTCTCAAGGACTTTTGTCCAGGATAGTAGAAAGATTTAGAGTTATGTTTACGGCAAACGTGAAATTCATACTATGTGACCAAGTTTTCCCTTAACTTTGTTGTGCAATTTACTGTTTACTAATTCCACCACAAACTTAGTAGCTTCACATTAGTTATGTCTTATTTTTAGCTGCACGTTTTCAATTTTGAGAAATTCTCAACTTGAATCTGACATTTTCTGTTTCCTGACAATGCAACTCTCAGTCTCTCTAAAGTATTGTCTTGCTAGAATACACTTGAAATTTTGCTAGCGAATCAATAATCTCTTACTTTGTGTAGCTGTTTAGAAGCTGTGATCCTGAAGCACTCATCAGTTTTGCCAACTTGGCCATGAAGTCAGCATCTTCATCCTAAAAGTGATGATTCAAATGACAAATGAGACAAAAATTACATTAACCCATTCACCCTTAGGAATATGGAGGAAACTGCGTATTGAAGCTACAATATAATCTTGGACAAAAATGTTACGCTTAGACATGAATAATCATGTACCTCTTGTGGTTCAAGGATACTGCTTTTCTTCAGAACACTCAGAAGAGATTCCACCAGTTCTTTCTTTGCCAGTGGCTCCATTCCCTTCATGATAATCTCATGTATGCAATCACAAGCGCTCTCCCGAAGAACTTCAACTGACATGTACCGGAGAAAGGTACTGCAAAGACAAATGATCAATTTGTAACCAGGACACAAAATCAAAGGTTGTGCTAATAGTAAAATCCTCTTTTGACAGTTTTCAGCAATGAGAAATGATGCTTTTCCACATTATTAGCTGCCAGTTGACTTCAACCACTGAAAGGCTACTTGCAAAAACTGACTTTATGAGAATTGAAAGGACACAATAACACAGAGCAAAGGAAACATTTTTACCATCAGTCAGCATAAAACACAGACTGACAACTATTGTTTTCACAAAGCAAATGACAATATGACATCAAAAGTAACATTGCAAAAAATGAAATAATCAGCATGTCATGAAGAAAGAAAAAATCTGAGTCCCTGACAGGATTCAAACCTATGACCTTCCAAACACTGGGTGGGCGCTCTATCCACTTGACCTATGCAGAACTCACGAAGAGGGAGGCCATAAATTATATTACAGGGTGTACGTTCAAATTTTACCATCTTTCATTCTTTCACCAAAAGTCCCATTGTTTTCTAACCCTAAAAATATTATTCCGTGTAGTCCACAGTCTGAGTCTGCAGTCTGCATTAATTTTACTCTGCCCCTATTCAATCGTTTGCAATGAGGCCAATATCGATCCATTCAATATATGCTCCAATAATGTCTAGGCAAAGGCACGTTGACACACTATTTTCATATGTTTTCTGCACACAAAACGTAATAAAAAAAACAGTCAGCAAAACCTAAACCTCATTGTTGAACCAAAATACAAGATTCCCACCTACCAGAATCTGAAACCAAGAGTCAACGAGCTCTGTGATGCACGTATCCCTGATGTGATCTTTAATTTTTGTGTTCCTCTCTGCTTCCTGTTCATCAAAGAAAAATTCAGCTTCTAAACTGATTGATTAGTAAATGGTTTTACAAACTTGTACAAGCAACCAACGGAAACTCCACAAAAGTTGACAGTCTTAAATCAAATCTTTGAGTCTTTACACAAGTTTCAAGATGTGACAAGCAAGATTCTAGAAGCAGTGTTTTAACTCCAAAGGATTTTGATTTTCATAAGGAGCAGTTTCACACATGTACAGCATAGCCCTTTGCGCAACATGTTTAGATTCATATTAGCACCGACAACTTCATGTGTGTGGCATGGTGGACTTTGTCACAACAAAAACAACTTGAATGACAAACTTTAACAAGCTTGTATATTAGGCAAATAAAAAATTTAGGTACATTCCAAACCCGCTTTACAGACACCCACTAAAATGGGTTCAGCTTCAGTGGCTGTAAGCTGCTTGTATGAGAGGTTAGATAGTACAATATTATATAGAATTGAATAGGTTATCAATTTCTGTTTGATTGTACCCCTCTCTGTTGGAGATATATTTTCACCAATGGAAATTGTAGCATTACAGTTTTTAAAACAATTCTTAAAATTAACCTGTTGACTCCTTATCACATCTCTATCAACTACTTCCTCATCAATTGCCTTCAAAATCCTAAGATACATATCCACAGCTAATGCTCCATATTGCAAGCACTGGAGGAGGTCTGAGAAAAACAGCGGCCACTACAGCGAGAAGAGAAATGTAACATGAAGTTAAACAACATTTAACGCAGTTAATAACAATGAGTGCTGTCGTGTGTTGTTGCTCAGCGGTCAGCGTGGTGGCTCAAGCGCAGTCACCCTTGCTAACATCAGCTCCGGCTCCATGTGCTTAGTACAATGCTTTCAAGGTGATTACTCGTTTTGTTCAGCCTTTAGATTGTGCCTTTCCCCCAACCTTTCCCTCCCTTTAATTTTTCTCTGCTAAATCATTGGGACATGCAGGTGCCTGGTTCCATTGGTGTGGGGGCTCATGGCTAGAAAGAGTGAGTTTACCAGCCATGAGGCAGGCCATCTGATATTACGCGATGGTTCGATTTCGCACAATTGACCTCAAATCGCATCTGATCGCACAATTTGAGGAAAATCGCATAATTCGAAAAAAAAAAGGCTAAATTCAAGTAAAGTAAACAATGAACTCCAACTTTAATGAAACATTTTGCCAATCTTAAGGTTATTTAAAGTGATTTACCACTAAACAAAGCCTTGCAAAACAACTGAAACCTTCGATCGCGGTATCTGGGCAGCTATTTTGATTTTAGAGACAAGCAGTGTGGTCAGCGGTGTAAGGTTGTCATGTAATATGAAGCAAGTGTCCTTTTTTCTTTTCCGTGTCAAAATAATCGGACAACTTTAACTGTTTTGTTTTAAAATAGATGTTTTATTATTCCTTTACATTCACATTGCCCGTTAAACAACATTAAAGTGGTTTTTTTCCCTTGCAACCTGGTAAAACAATGTAAATTAGCCCTGAAAAAATCGCATAATTTACCGCATAATAGTCCTATCTTATCGCACAATCTACCCTGAAAGTATCGCACAATTTCTGATTTTTTATCGCACTCTATCAGATGGCCTGAATTGAGGGCATAACACTGTCTAAGGGCTGACTGTGACAAAGGTGCAAGACCCTGGTCATCCTGGGCACCCACTTTCACCAAGAGTCGCAGTTGTTACCTGATTGTCAAATAGGTTTAAATGTGAAAAAAATGTTTTTCTTGCTGGCTGAGCTTGTGAAAGAGGCAGGAAATTAAATGAAGTTCTCTCACACTGAATGAAATCTGGGCACAGGTTACAATTTAGGGTATCAGTATTCACGCTTATTACACTTGAAATAACAATAAATCAGCTAACCTTCTCAGGATAATCGATCCCAGACAAAGATCAAGCTAAAGACTAGCGCTGCCTTGTTCTTCAAGAAATTCTTGTTATCAGACTCTGTACAACACTGAAAAGTTACAACAAGGGTCAATGAAAAATTGCAGTGAAAAATGTTACAATTACCGCTACAGTGTACGTATAAGAATTCAAACAAAGGTGCCAGTAAGACTCTCATGGCTTTGCAAACCAATTCACTTATGTCCACTTTTAGGTATCTTTGCACAACTATAAAAAACAAAGTTTGACAATTTTGCTCAACCTTCTTACATAAAACAAGTTGTTTCAATTTTGATGAAAGACAAAGAGAGAGTCTAGACCATAATCATATGTCAAAGGTATTAGCAAGACATCCTTTTTCACCTAAAGACAGACATTGCAATCTAGGGTGAGTGGCAAAAAAAGAGAAAATGTTCCTTGGGATTCTACTGTAGAGTAAATTAACCTAGTGTACCTGATTTTGTAGCCAGGTCAAAAGAATCTCTCTGAGTGCTTGTTGATCTACAAGATTTGATGACACATGTCTGTGTACAGAATAAAAAATAAAAAACATAGCCATTTTTTGGGCAGGATCACTCACTTAGACAAGATCATCCAAGATGTCTAGTACAGTACAGGAGACTGAAGTATGTGTAAACTGAATACAGTTAGTGATCAAATGTTTGTAAGTTATTTTCATTATAATAGCCTACATAATATCACACCATGCCAAGTGAGTAAAATGTTTAAAAATTAAATTTTCTGATAACATCTTTTAATAAGAGTTATTCAGAATAATTTGGTGGACAAAAATTTAAAATGGCGGATCAACCAAAAAATATAACCTTTTTGATTTTTCCATGGAAGGAAGATTCACTTTAAAATGGATGCCACATTATAATAACCATGTAAAATTTATTATTAATCATTATAATTAGAAATTATCAATGTTTAATTTTACCTTGTTTTTATGTGATGCTCTAATACTTGAAAGCAAAAGAACTTGACACTTTCATCACTAAAACAGCAACAAAAAAAAACAATATAAAAGACCAATAATGCAAAGGCAGATTAAATTTTTTTATATCACACCCATACACAAGACAGTTGATGTGATACTGGAGCTACGTACATGTACTAGAATAGATGCTCATGTGAGTGGCACCCTTGAGATGAGAGAAATGTGTCCATAACTGAAGCTGATCACTTACAAGAATGGTTCTCGTCTGCAGCCACTAGAGGTGACAGGGTTATATCAATATGATCGCAGCAAGGATGCAAAATTTGATTAAGTTTGAGTTATAAAATGGTCAATATCGTCATTTCCTGTTTATATCACTTTAAAACAATGTTAAATCTGTAATAGACTTAGCTGTATTGCATTGACCGACGCTGCTTATGGTCTTTCCGAGGAACGCTGGTTTCGGCACAGGTAACCCAGGCTCTGTCATAGTACCACAGTACAGTTCCAGTAAAATTACAGTGTTTGTATGGGGTAAAAATACCATCCTAAAATTTCTAGGAAATACTTAATAATGTTCAATGAAACTTACTCTACAGTTACTTGTTGTTGCCCTTATTGCTCTAACGAATTTTCGCGATAATTTGCAGTAATTTCTTCAAATTCACTCTATATACAATAATAATATACAAGGTAGGAAACACGAGATGCCATTTTCGCCGACATGCTCTCATTCAACACAACTTTTTCCACGAAATTCGAACTCCAACGGAAAATAAACATACCAGGATAGTAGAAATAGGATAGCAGCAGATATAGAAACCAATGAAGCTTTCCCAGATAGAGAAACGAATCCGACCGACTTTGACGAACTCGAAGGATACAATCCAAACAGACCGAGAATATGCTTGCCGAAGCAGCCGGGCCAGATCAACGCGCGGCTAAGAAAATGAAGCCTGGGCACCGTACAAAAAAAATCCATCCCGGGAGTCCTGAGGTGACCTTTCTGGGGACCGATACATCATCCCAAATCCACCCTACCCTGCTGAAAAAACACTTGATAGAAGGCAATTGTTCATCCTAGCCGTACCACCCTGGCCTGTTTAATATAAAGACATCACGTCCCTCTCGAATTATATTCAGAACCTGGCGCTGGTCCTCAGAAAGTCTTTCAAACATCAATAGGGCAAGGTTATAAGGGCAAGGGAAATAACAACGAAGGAGGATTTACAAAACGTAAAACGAGCAAAAGATATAAGTGAATTTTGGCTCTTACCGCGGCATTTGTACAACAGTACCAAATTCAAAGAGATGTGTCACGATGGTTCACATATTTAATTGATAGAACGTCCGGTTGTATTGACAAGAAGTCGGCGTGTTACGGCCGCATTAATCGCTAAATATGTTAATCGTGCTAGTTCTTAGTTTACTGGTGCACATGCCTTTCACATTCGTCTCAGTCATCGCAATTCATATTCTGTTGGAATTTCTGTATATTTTTTGACATTATTTTGTAAGCTTCACCGTTTATTTACGATCGTTTCGCTCGAGAGTTCACAGCAACAGTATCTCAGTCATCATCTACCCCTTGTTCAACCTCGTTTTTAGCCCGCATTGTAAGTATTTCGAGTTATTATTTCATAGTTTCATTACTGTTTAATATTTGCGTTCCTTAGTAAAAGAAAAGGGGCGCCTTGTAATTCAGCAGACTATTTAAATTCAGGCGCGTGTGCTGGGTTTGCTCTGGCGAATTGTGATTGGCTAGGAAGAACAATTGCCTTCTATCAAGTGTTTTTTCAGCAGGGTAGGGTGGATTTGGGCAAATGATGTATCGGTCCCCAGAAAGGTCACCTCAGGACTTCCGGGATGGATTTTTTTTTGTACAGTGCCCAGGCTTCATTTTCTTGGCCGTGCGTTGATCTGGCCCGGCTGCTTCGGCGAGCATATTCTCGGTCTGCTTGAATTGTATCCTTCGAGTTTGTCAAAGTCTGTGAGATTCGTTTCTCTATCTGGGAAAGCTTCATTGGTTTCTATATCAGCTGCTATCCTATTTCTACTATCCTGGCATGTTTATTTTCCGTTGGAGTTCGAATTTCGTGGAAAAAAGTTGTGTTGAATGAGAGCATGTCGGCGAAAATGGCATCTCGTGTTTCCTACCTTGTATATTATTATTGTATATAGAGTGAATTTGAAGAAATTACTGCAAATTATCGCGAAACTTCGTTAGAGAAATAAGGGCAACAACAAGTAACTGCAGAGTAAGTTTCATTGAACTTTATTTAGTATTTCCTAGAAATTTTAGGATGGTATTTTTACCCCATACAAACACTGTAATTTTACTGGAACCGTACTGTGGTACTATGACAGAGCCTGGGTTACCTGTGGTTTCGGTCGATGTTATTTAGTGTCAACACGTCACGAAATCCTATCTAACATCGACCGAAACGCGAAACCTAACCGGAACTCGACTGCGGCTCCAAAATAAAAACCTAAATGAAATAAATCCTGCCGCGAGATTAAGTTGTCCTATGTTTGTCTTAACACATGCACATGGCGAATTAAAGAATGAATTGGAGACTGCAACACTGCAAACTCTTAAAACGCCAGAAAATATATAGAAAAAAATAGAAGCTACGATTTACGGAAATACCTTACTAACCTAGTCGGCGAAAAGTGAATCGGCGTCCTCATTCGCCTAGAGTGCAGCGCCAAAAATGTCTTACAAACTACATTGCTGTCGATGATTCTGCATTTGCATGCACGGCGATTGCACCTATTTCTACATTTTTGGGGACCCAAGTAATTCCCTTTGTGCTTTCCTAAGGGTAGGGGGTGGCTAGCCACCCAATTTACCCCCGTGGTTCCGCCTCTGTTGAGAAATTCTTAATAAAAACCTTCTACTTCCACAATCACCTGCCAACAATCAACCTGACATTGGCTAGTTGTTGGAGATTCAGCAAGAGGACAATAAATTGGACAAGAACAGATCCACCCCCTGGGCATGACCCCACACCGGTTTCCACGTTTCAAGTTTCCAGTTTTCACGGAAACTGGTCTTATTTTTCATTAGCGTGCGTAACAGGCGTTCGAAAGGGAAGAGGAAGGGAATAAGGGTGCGACACCACGCGCAAGGGAGGAGGGAGGAGGGAGGAGGGGGACGTCTGCAAGGAAGCCATGGTTTTCGCTATCCCACCTACTAATTTAAAAAATAACAAAAATAACGCAACCGTGAATGACTAGCTGTCAGATAAGTGTGGCCGCAATACATGTATTCTAGTCGTATTTCTCGCACTGTTTTTCTTTTGTTTTCTTATTAAAAACAAGAAATCTTAAGTAAAGGTACTATGAAAAAAAGTTCAAATGCGGTCGTCCATTGAAGGAATCTACCTTGAAAGTTGCAACGATGCGTGCCGAGTTACATAAAATCCAGCATAATTCTATTTAAGTTGTTGCTGAAGGAATCGGGTTGGAAACTATTTAATAAGAAATGTATAGCGACTCTTCGCAACTCTCAATGAAATGTTTGTCTAAGAAAAATTAAAACACTTTGCCTTCACTCTTTGAATTTCTATCAGGTCGAATTGGATCCAGCACGCAAAAAAAAACGCTGAATGGCACTCTATCACTCACTCACTCACTCGCTCACTCGATTCTTATTAATCTATTCATTAAAGTCGAATTATACACTTTACTCTTACCTCCCTTACTTAGTATTACTTTTGTTCAAAGTGCCTTTTACGCATATGTTTGGCATATTCTAGAGGGTACTAGTGATATTTGCGTTAAAGAAATGCTTCGCTGATAACAAGTTTCTACAGGAGCCCATGGGCTCCTGGTTTCTATAACAAAATCATGCAATCGGATACTTCCACTGTGTTGGTTTGAATATTCCAAAGGTCAGAAAAAGTACAGCTTCGATCGGGCAAGGATCTAGCTCTCTTAAAAGCGTGAGTGCTATAGAGATGCCAAAAAGTTACCCGCCGAAGAAATGCTGATACCGTATGCCAAAACACACATGCCAAAAATCAAATGCTAAAGAAATGTAAACATGATCTATCAAGTAACCAAAACACACAGAGAAAGTCATGAAATATAAAAATGGAATGTTTCTCAAGCCTTCTAGTTACTATAAATACAGAGGTGATTGAATTAAAGTCCAATCTAAAATTAACACATTTATGTCGTTTGGACGAATGGCAGTTGTCGGCCACCATATAGGTCCCTTAAAAAGTGTGAGTGCTATAGAGATGCCAAAAAGTTACCGAAGAATTATGCTGACGAAATGCTTTTTAAAACAGACAATGTATGCCAAAAAGTAGATGCCAAAAACAAATGCTATAAATACCGTATGCCAAAACACACATGCCAAAAATCAAATCCTAAAGAAATGTAAACATGATCTATCAAGTAACCATAACACACAGAGAAAGTCGTGAAATATAAAGAAACTAAGGAGGAAGTGAATATGTTACAGCGCCCAAGCAGTTTAAAACAAATGAATTTCAAAATGGAATGTTTCTCAAGCCTTCTAGTTACTATAAATACAGAGGTGATTGAATTAAAGTTCACTCTAAAATTAACAAATTTATGTCGTTTGGACGAATGGCATTTGTCGGCCACCATACATGTTTACATTTCTTTAGCATTTGATTTTTGGCATGTGTGTTTTGGCATACGGTATATAGCATTTGTTTTTTGGCATCTACTTTTTGGCATACATTGCCTGTTTTAAAAAGCATTTCAGCGTCAGCATTTCTTCGGCAGGTAACTTTTTGGCATCTATATAGCACTCACGCTTTTAACAGAGCTAGATCCTTGCCCAATCGAAGCTGTACTTTTTCTGACCTTAGGAATATTTAAATCTTTAAAGCAAAGATCACTAGTACCCTCTAGAATATGCCAAACATATGCGTAAAAGGCACTTTGAACAAAAGTAATACTAGTAAGGGAGGTAAGAGTAAAGTGTATAATTTGACTTTAATGAACAGATTAATAAGAATCGAGTGAGCGAGTGAGTGAGTGAGTGATAGAGTGCCATTCGGAGTAGGGCGTAAGTAAGGTACGAATACCGCAATACCGCACATGGTAGCGCGAGAATACCGCAATACCGCATTAAAATTTAGCCAAATACCGAAACCGCAGTTACAAATGAGAAAAAGTTGACGTTGTCAATACTACAAATCCTCCTTTCAAATAGAAATAATACTTTATGTCAGTGTTTCCAAATCAAGGTACGTCGATGTCAAGCGTACGATAAACATAAGCTCATCGCACTCGTTTAATTTTGTTCATTACATGTATACGTTTACATGCATGTAGGTAAATGATACAACAGGAGTTTTCTAGTATTAGTTTACATATTATATACTGACCTGAATCATAAATGGACGGAAAACAGTTGACTCTTATCAGGTTGTTTCAAGTTCACAATTAACTTGGTTCTGTGTTTAGGGTTTCAAAACGTAACGTCGACCCGGGCTTGGGATTCGAAGGGCACACAGCACACACTAGTATATAGCTAGCGTAGCATGGCGGTTTTAGTTGGCCCACAGGCAGCCCAAGCGCACTATGTGTGGGTTCGGGCTTTAGAGGTCATTTGGTCGGAATATACTAGAATTATTAGTGTATTATCTGATGCTAAATAAACGCAAAAATCTTAAAGATATGAAGTCTTCTTGTTCGTATATCTGTACTAGTAGCCTTTAAGATAACGAAGGTCGATATTTCTTGCAATATTACATGTGATTCGGGCCCTTAATGTTCGAATTTTGTCACATGTATTCGAATCTACAACGCTAAGAAAAAAAAAATCATGATCACGCGAAATATTGATTCAAAAAGCTCCCTTACCTTCAGTTCATAGCCCCTCTGTGTCCTACGGCCGGTTTAAACGCCGTTTAGTCGACTTTCTCTCCATCGAGTACTCAGTACGAATACATGTGACAAAATTCGAACATTAAGGGCCCGAATCACATGTAATATTGCAAGAAATATCGACCTTCGTTATCTTAAAGGCTACTAGTACAGATATACAAACAAGAAGACTTCATATCTTTAAGATTTTTGCGTTTATTTAGCATCAGATAATACACTAATAATTCTAGTATATTCCGACCAAATGACCTCTGAAGCCCGAACCCACACATAGTGCGCTTGGGCTGCCTGTGGTTGGGCGCGCTAAGTAATAAAGGCAGGCGCAGGCGAGGAGATTGGGGCGGGAGCTGCTTCGCCGCTCACAGTCGTGCTCGGCTGCCGACAAAACCACGTAAAACTGCCATGCCCGGGGGGGCCGGGGGGGTACTTGGGTTAATTTTTGCTGCGTATGTGCCGCTGGCCTCCCAGAGCCCCTACCTCATTATAGCCTATTCTGTGGCCAATTATAAACCCCATCTTAGTTAGTTTTGGACAAATATCTAATTTTCGCGATCCCAACTTAGTCACTTCCTATTTTTATGAATTGACCATTTTTTAAATTGAATGAAGAACACTTTACTTTTCATCCACAGTACAAACGTTCTGGTACGTTTGCTAACCGTAAATATGAAGAACTGTCTTACCCCCAAAATTGAGAAAATGTGCGGCCCCATTATAGTCAATCCAATCGTGAAAATGCGACTCCATCCAGCGGCACATCCCCATTAGCCTCTTGTAAAGAAGTACCCTCCCCCCGGACTGCCATGCTACGTAGGCTAAGCACACACGAATACTAGTACATTCTACAATCCTGCATGTACAACGAGAAGGACGAGTAGTAATTTTTAGACAACACCATTCATGGATTATCTTTCGATACTACGCAATTTATAACTACCTCCGACCTCACTATTTGCTGGAATATCTGACTGATCACTTAGTTGACCCTCTGGATCGCTCGCCATTGGTTTGCGACTGGCACGAAAGTGGCGGTGATATTGGTAAGGCCGGGTTAACCAAGCTCACTATTCCCACAAGGTATATGAGGTCATACATAATAGGGACCTTAAGCATTGACGGCGAATGGGACGACGAGGCGACTTGAACGCTACTGCACATGCTCGCACTCGTCGTCCACATGCTGCCGAGAACGTGAAAACCCGTGAATTGGTGTCTAGCAGTGAACGCGAGTAAACTTACTCGTATTTTTAACCCCTAAATCCACTTTCCTGAAAGAAATTTCATCTCAATTGCGTATTCGACTTTCAAAGTATTTGTTCTTTGTATTTTTGTCCTGAAAACACCAGAAAATCGAAAGATATAGGTCTTCGTTACCAAGCACCACTGAGTCGCATTGAAACTTTCTTATTTGTGTTTTCCAGCTTTACGCGGAGCAAAAAGGTTTACAGATAAAAAAGATGCTAAATTATAACGTGTTCCACCTTCTTTTTCTTTAAGAACTGTAGTGATTTGTCTCCAAACATTAGTAACCTTTGGTTCTATTTTTCTTTGCAAAGGAGATGGAGTGGTCAGACAAACATGATTTGGTGGTGTTTGTTACGGAACCCTACCAACATCCGTATAGAAGCAAGGAAAGGGGAGATGTATGGAACCAGATAGCTGTAAACCTGAATGGACTTGATCATCCGAAATTCAAAGTCAGTAAAAGATCCATAACAGACAGACTGACCTTGCTGATTACCAAGCATAAAGCGAAAATGCGCCAAGAGGAAAATACCACTGGTATCACTTTCGAAGAGACCGAACTAGTCTAAGCTCTCGAAGAGACAAGACGCTGTGGGAGCGTAAATTTGGGCGTGGTTGTACTGCCGGTATGATACTTACACAACATACCCTATTGAAGCTAAACAGCTGTCATCATATCTTACCAGAGAAGATAAACCCTTTACTCCACTTGTTTGCTGAACCACACAGCTCATACCGTATGTCCCAATCGACAACAAAATCGTGTCATTTCATGACAATGTTTGAAAATAAGCACATCTTCGATGCAGACGTGCTTGGAGCCAAATTGCAAAACAGGACATAAATGGTTACAGTCGGGAGAGTAAGGTTTATCTCAGCTCCACTGATACTGAAACTTTGAGGAAGATTGACTGGCAGATGTGTTTTCACACCCGTCACATTGTACAGTGTATTCCGCTTACTAACAAGGGCAAATAAAGTTCCTTAAGTCCAGTATCCACAAGGATTAATAAGAGAGTAACACATTAGATAAACTGGTATAGGGCAGCACTGCTTACAGGAACACTGATAACTATTAACATTTGATATACTAAAATGTTCAACATTGCTTGAGGAAAAATCAGGTTCAAAGGTGGCAATATGTACACCTTTAAGTTTATATATATCCTCATTCCTACATTCCTATGTAGAGTCCGAAAATATTGTACTAATTTATGCATGGATGGTATTTCCAACAACACACATGTCCCTTCACTATGACTGTTGTGATACATATCTCTAGCATGAGAATCAAATACATGATATCCCCCAGCCTCAATGCTGTAAATACCAACACCAATAATTGCCGCCGTTAAAATGAATGAGTTGTAATTCAGTGCCAAGAGTGTTTCAAATGTTGTACCCTGTGAGTGGCATATACAGTGGTGATACCCCTCAATTCCGGGATCACCATGGATGTTACAAGTATAACTGTCACTGTATTCAAGGTGGAAAAATTGCTCACTCTAAACATTTCTGGCAATTCTGTTAACATTAACATAGATTGCCTTGCAAGCAGTGACAGACTAGAATATAATTGAATACAAACAATCTTTATTTGAATCATATCATTAACTGAAGTAATTTTTGTTATCTTACTGTAAATTAAAGCTCACAGACTCATTGCGACACATTGTTGTCCAGCATTTTCCCCAAATACTGTAACGTTTCCTTGACAGTATGGAGCATGAATTGTCATAATCTGAAGGTCCTGGATTCTTCTCGATATCAGTACAAAGCTTAAATTGGCCAAAATTAACCCGGTGATTCAAACTGTTGTAAGCACTATAAAATTGATAATGGCATGTACAGAGGGGAAAATTCTTACTTAAAAGCCTATTTGGAAATCTCATTCCACATAAATCGCCTGTGCTTTGATGCTTAGACGACAGATACACCTTCCCTCGTTTACGAACTACTTTTGGAGTTGCCCTTAAGTAAAAACGTCACACTCTTACAGTTACTTCTGTACCTGTTTATGTGTAAACCTTTTCTATTTTTACCGTAACAATAAATTTCAGACGACAATGGTGTATTTTTCCGAATACTCCTCCATACAAAAAGTGTCACTTTCCGTGTTTTCTGTAACAAATATTTTAATTTGTTCATCGGTAGTCTGCTAGGTGCCTATGACTGCGATGAGAGAAATGACTAACCTGATTTAAACCAATGGAATTGTAAGTTCTGTTATAAATAAATTTCGTACGACGATATCTCAATTCAACTTCTTTTATTTCCTCCACAAGACAATTTTCCTTCTGTACAACTAGCTCATTTCCTTCTCTTGTCGTCACCTCGCTGCCATCAGAACACTCCAACACAAAACTTGCTGATAATGCAAAATCCCGACGCACAGCATCGTACATGTACCGCGTCACAATATATACAATTAGATCTAAAAACACAACACGCAATACAAGAACAAGTGCATTGACCGTCACCCTGCTAAACAACATTGAAATAATAAAAAGAATTGTTGCAGTTATCACAGTAGTCCCAAAAGAAGCCTCAGTCCCTTTTGGATTCATTTGCTGACAATAGCAATCGTCTGTTCCTTCATCGGAACAGATTTTTATCACAGGCAACTCGTTGTGTTCCGCAATGCAAAAATCAAAATCACTATTGTCACACTGATAACCAGCTACATAAATCTTGCGACTCTCAAACTTGTTAAACATTCCTCTGTTCAAGCTCTTATCCATTTTACACGTACACTCCTGATATTCCGATTTGTCATTGCGTCTATGGGGTCCATGAGTCTTCAATGTCATTGAATGTCTTGATAATTTCCTTTGTTTTTCTTTGAGTTCACCAGCCCATTCCGAAAACATTCAGTGTTATTTTTTAGTGTGGGCCTACCGCGAACAGTGTGTGCATTCGTAAGTTTAACCCGGGATAACATGATTGAACAATATATTAGCACGTTCCTCGAAACGCTGCGGCCAAATGTTATCCAAACTGCTTCTTACTGCTGCTTCGAAAAATTTCGGTTCAAACGATATCCAAATCGTCCCTCATTGGATTATCCACTCGACCTAACAAAATCGACCAATCACAAAATAAGGAAAAGAAAATGGACATAAAATAAAGAAAACAGCAAATTCAGATAACCTCTTAGGAAACATGAAATTAAAACTGTCTTTCTATGATTGGTGCATTTCGATCCTCTCGTCAAAAAATGTCAGACGCCAATCATCTTAGCGGACCCCTCAGGAAACGAAAGTTTACTTCAACGGTTCAAAGGTCATTGTTTGTGATTTGTGATTGGTGGATTTCGATCCTTTTTGTGAGTTTCTGTGTTTCAAGGTTCGTTGATTGTGATCTTATTGCGACCAAAACCCGACGTTAATATTCCAAATATTTTTGATAGAGACTTCCAAATTTCGATGAGGCAAAAATACTGAAGATTCAGATAAACTTTTGAGATCGTAAAAGTGCGATAAAGTGCCGTGTGCTAGCAGAGCTTCCTTTTCCACATGCCTTTTACCTTGTACAAGACGTTCGCATGTCAGACATTCGCCTCGCTTCGCTTGTTTACTTGCCTTGTTTACGTTAGCACGTATTGCGTGCCTATTGCACATTTGCGTCAAAACAAGCCGCTTCCATTACTCTATTTGGGCCACGCCCAAATAATAATTGACAGGAGAAGTTGGCCGACGAAAAAAGCTTGGAGTTAAAGAAAAAAGAAAAGGAAGAAGGAGCAGGTTGAGAGGAACACAGGCAAAGCGCTGTGGAACTTTTAGGGCAGACCCTGCAAAAACATTTTGGACACTCCGATCATTCGCATTTCCTTTGTTTACGTGGGAAACTCGTCGTCCACAGCAAGCGAGCGCTTGACTCTCGAATTTTTCCGCCGTGAACGACGTTCTCGACCCAGTCCTTTCAGGGTGCAGTTCGTCGTCGCCGTCTCTTTCGTCGTCGATGCGTAAGGTCCCTAATGCGACATGTTTACGCATCATTGGAAAAAAAAAGTTAATGTCGTTAATCATATCAAGTATTAACTGTTATTACAAGCCATACGATCTGTCTGGACTGTTTGCACATACGATCCCCGACTGCGCAACTATAGGAAGCCGAAGACACGCAGGTCACGCAGGTTAGCTAGGGATTAAAGCTAGGGAGACCTTTTAGGATTTGTATCCTCTTGTCGTGAAAAAGAAGCAGATCACCGCGACACAACGATCTCACCGACTACCGCGACATAAAATTTAAACTTACCGCACACCGCTTGGACTCTGAAAACCGCAATACCTTACTTTGAAATAAAAATTACCGCAACACCTCACCAAAACTAACCGAATACCGAAAACCCTTACGTCCCCCTCCATTCGAGTGCCTCCAAAAGCCCATGGCATGACTACGTCATCCATGAGCTAAAAAACCTTTGTTGCTTTGGCAAACCGCCTATTAAGGCAACCTCGTTCCCAGGGTTCTCTCCTACGGAGAGAGAACCTGGGAACGAGTTTAGCCTGTCAACACTTAACTAAACGAGACGCTCATTGGTCCGAGCAGACTAAAGCGCAAAACAATGGGAAAAGAATATATGACAGTTTAAGACGCATAGGGGCGGGGAGCATTGCGTGACCCCGGCCCGAGCGGCTGCGAGGAAGACTATTGTCTCCCGCCAAAAGTCTCAGGTTTCTTTCTTTTTTTTTTTGAACGGCAGTTCCCGGTCATGAACATATTAATTTTACTTTTTCTGTTTTGAACGGCAGTTCCCGGCCATGAACATATTAATTCTACTTTTTCCGTTTTGAATGGCAGTTCCCGGCCATGAACATACTAGTTTTACTTTTTCTGTTTTGAATGGCAGTTCCCGGCCTTGAACAAATTAGTTTTACTTCTGCTTTCATTTCACTTTTATTTATATTTTCATTTCATAGTAAAAATGTTTTGTTTTGTTTTGAAAATTGACAAAATGAATCCATTTCCAGTTCAATGAAAAACAAAATAATTTGACGTTGTACTTTCGCTTTATTTTCAATGCAAAATAATTAAAGTTCAACTAAAATTAACAAATTTATGTCGTTTTGACGAAGTTGTCGGCCACCATAGTGGCCCCTAACATTTTTCATTTTGTCACCGCTGATAAATGTAGCCCCAAATTACTGAAAGATTCCACTAGTTCTAATCAAATGTCGCCATCGCCCAAAAGCACCGTATTAACTTTCGGCGTTGGTTTTGTGCTGGATGCAGCGCCTAAGAGTCAGGAAGATCATGTCCCATGTTTCTTCTTTCTGATGAAGAATTTAAGCTCCAACCCCCTTCTGAGATGTGTTTGTTCACTCAGAGATTTGAAGTTTTCTGTGATCTGGCGGCAATATAGTTCCCAGTCTCTTAACGGCCACCTCCCTACAATGGACTTCTGGAAGGAGACCCCGCTTTAACCTCGTTCCGAGGGCTTTTCCCTGAGAAAACTGGGAGTGGGGGGAGGGAAATGCTTTGCTTCAGTCCTTTTATTTGACTCTCCATTTAGGTAGTTACTTCTCTGACACAGACACCAAAGGTGTCCGTCTTACACGGAGTTGACTGTGCTTCAGTCGAACCCCCAGGGTATCTTCAGGGAACAGGTTTGACACATTTCCCCGCTCATTATTTCATCAGTGGTTGTGCAGAGTCAGTATATAACTATACTATGCGCCAGACGGATTATTCTATTCAATGACTACCAATACGTTTAACACTTCTAAAAACCTTCTTTTCATCTGCTAGAAAAAGAAGTTGAATTTAGAGTCGGTATATCTTTAATAATTGAATATCATATTGTTTAAACGTCGAGGTTTCCTTTCACAGAATGAAAAGCCCCCGGGTATACTTTATAGTTTCTATAATTTCTATAATGGGAAGACTCGCCCCTTTTTCAGGCTTCAGGTATATGAAAGGGTAGGGATATTATATGAAAGAGTAGGGAAATCCGTCATTTAGGTCTGTAAAAAGGCCCAAAACTGATAACAGAAGCATTTTATGGCTAAAATGCTGTGGAAAATTCTAGAACACGTTCTGGTTTTCTTATTTGCTCATATTTTAAAGACAGTGCAGTTACAGCGGTTGTTTTTCACTTTGCTCGGTTTCCTATGTTCTTTTAGCCTGCGTAGCAGGCGCTTGGAAGTAGTGGGCGAAAGGGAGAACGGGCGCGCGCGAGGGAGACACGCGAGGGGTGAGGAAGCTCCCTCTCCCCTCGCGTGTCTCCTTCTCGCGCGCCCGTGTTTTCTTCTGCCCACTACTTCCAAGCGCCTGCTACGCAGGCTAATGTTCCTTAGTAAGGGAATATATTTACATAACCCCTCATTATTATTCACTGCCTGAAAAGTTGTGGCGGCTTTGATTGTCTGGGCTGAAGAGAGAATAGCTGATAACAATAACAAAACAATGCAATATATATTTCCCTTGCTCATATTTCCTTCGTCACATTCCCCTGCTTATATTCCCCTCAGTATGTTTAACAATCCCAGTTAGAATTTTGTATTTCCATTTAATGTGCTTACCACATTTTCTTGGACTTCATTTCCTTCGTCGGCAGCTGTCATAGCGCAATGTTCCTCAAACTAGAAATTTGCATCACCTGCCGCGTTACTTTTAAACGAATTTGACATTACGTCTCCAACGTTTATCTGTGAACGTCATTGCTTGCAATGTAACTCGTTAGACGACTGACACAAACTTCTATCGCGGTGGAAGGTCCAAAAGAGTTTCCAAAACTGCTCTGCCTTAACGTTTAGAATACATGTACTTCTTCCTCTGAGTTACACATCTCACTGGTAAAACTACAGTGGAATCTCTCGTAAGCGTGACACCCTCGGGACGCAAAAGAGGTGTCCCTAACCAAAGCTGACCGCTTACGGGAATGTAAAAATACAGAGTTTGTATGGGAGTTGAAATATTGGCCGTAAGTAGAGTTTTCCGCTCACGAGAGTGTCCGTTAAGAGAGCCTCCACTGTACTGTTTGACTACTCCACACGAATTGACCAGTTTCCATATTTTAGAATTCAACCTCAAACAATTCGAGTCTTTTGGGAATAATCATCTCTAGAGTATAAGCACGTTATTTACCTGTCCCTCGAGGGTATGTGATGTTTATCCAGCTGGAGCCGCCCCAGGGGTACCAGATGAAATTATCACATACCCCTTCGTTCCAGGTAAATAACCCCCACTTTAGGCCTGTTTACATTGAGTTGGGGGACCCCAGGTAGGTGAGGTAACCCGCTTAGGTGGGGTAACCCGCCTGTCCATATATTACATGTATCTCGTTTTAATTTTATCACGTTTACATGATAGGTGGGGTGACCTGCCACTTGTTACCCCGCCTGTCTGGGGTTCCCCAAGTCAATGTAAACAAGCCCTTAAAGGGGATGGAAAGAGCTTAACCTGCTATGTTAAAGGGATACCTTTTCTGTCACAAATGACATATAAAAAGGGAAGGAGTTAGGCCGTGGAGCGGAGCCTACCCGTAAAACGTTTTTCCAGTACCCCCACGGAGAAAAGCCGTTAGCATGCTGTTCTATGCACATAAAATTATAACTGTAGCTCTCCTTTTGTAAGTAAGAGATACGATAATTACTTATATTATAATGTATATTATTTTAGTAAAATCCAACTAGTGGTCCATTATCAATGCTGAGTTCTGATTGGTTGAGCTACTTCTAAGCCATGTTATAGCCCACTGGTAGCGAAAAGCGCCGGCTTTGAAAACCAAAACAATGGCGGATGAATCGCGTTTTACTAGCTAAAGTTGTTTTGTCTCGATATTTTTTACCAACTACTTGGATTTTACTAAACTCTCTCGCCCTCATGGCCCCGCCCTCAATAGCCCATTCGGCCTTCGGCCTCATGGGCTATTGACTAAGAGCTCATTCGGGCTCGAGGAATAATTGTTAAATATTTCTTAGTTAGTAAGTGCGCTGTGATTGGTCAATTTTGCGGGCGGTATTCTACTGTACGGCCCGCTAAATTTTAAAGTTTCCTTACCGCGCGCCAAATTAACCTCAGAGATATAATAAATATTTTACTAACCTCGTTTCTCTCGGTCCGTACTGTAAGTTACGGACCCTCGTTTTTTTGGTCCGTAACTTACGGTACGGACCTCGAACTCGGTTAGTAAGAGGTATTTATTACTTACATGCAGTGTCCTGTAGAATAAAAGAATCATGAAAATAAATTATGAATTAAGGTGGCCCGAACCTTTTTATATGTGTGATGGTAATTTTTTTAAATCGCGTTTTACAGCAGGAATCATTTGACTGACGAAAGCCGAATTTAATAATTGTTTTATTATTCATTCAAAATAATTCCTAGTTTAAAGATGTCAAGTTCATCTTCGATAGTGCACGTTTAGGGTTGTTCAGCTCCGCAAATATTCTCCAAATAGCAGATGTCGCCCTTCGAGTTGTCTTCCTACTGTTCTTGCCATATTTTTAGCTATTATTTCGCCTAGTTCTTACTCTTGAAACGAGTGAAATGTACGCCATTTTTGTTTTCACAACCAAAACAACTCAACCTCGTCCCCAGGTCTTCTCGGTTAACGGTGCATTAACCTGCAAGGAAGCTGCACTTTTGACGTCATCGCTTCTTTAATCGCAAAATTCTTCCAAGTTTGGTCATCAGTAGCTGGTTATGGTGAATTATACGCGGTCTTTTAGCGAATCAGAATCGGGGAAATATTTTGAATGAGTAATAAACATTTTCTTATAGACATCATAACGTATAAGATAT